TAAATTGAGCCTGGTTTGATGTTATTTGAAATTTAATTGAAATCCATGTTTGGTAAAGTACAAACATTCATCCACACATACAACTTTCACGTTTATAATATTAGTAGGATAAATAAGATGAACTGTGGACCTATTTTGGCTTTGAATATTAGAAAAACCAAGACCAAAATCAAACGCATTAAACTTAGGCTTTTTCATTCGATATTCCTTTCATAAATTTAATGTCCAGATTTCCAGACAAAGTCCAAAAGTTTCTAATACAACATTTATTATAAAAATGTTGGACCTAATCGAGCTAACGACATTATTAGTCGAATACATCGCTACCATTAGACCAACGAGTCTAATTCAGTCGAGTTTTCATGTTAATCAAAATAACCGACGATATAAATCCATCATCTCTATATAGAAACTTCTTAACTGTCTATTAATAATGCATTGTTATAAATAATATTTTTTGTAGGAATGAACGCAAGAAATAACTATCTTCTAGTATAGGTAGAAGTACAGGCGTCTCGCTCAGCCGAGCATGGCGATCTCAAAGCGTTCACCAAGCAGGTGCATTGCTGATTGTTAAGTGTTCATGACATTTATTAAAAATTAATATTATGTTACATTAAGTATTGCCTATATCCTTAAAAAAGAAAGTAGATTTTTCCAAGAATGGTAGGCAATTGAAATCAAGAAACATTGAAATATCAATAAGAGAGAGGGCCTCAAGATATCAAACACATAGAATCCCATATTAAAACACCAGATACTATAAACAGTATTTATTTCTTTATTTAACTTTAAGCGACTATCGCTTGTTATGCGAGTTTAAAGGAAGAAAGTTTTCTTTTAAATAGGGCGGAGATATGGGATACGATAGAGCATACGATAAAAAATTAAAATTCAAAGAAATTTCTAAGGGAGCGAATCGGAAGCTAGTTTAGTCCTTGTCAGGGTACTGGTTAACCAAAGTATACTGTGAGACAGTTTTGTATAGACCCGGATAGTTTTTCTAATTACCTACCAACTACGACAGATGGCGCTAACGTAGCAGATTTGACTTTAACATTAGAGACAGCCTCAATCTTTTGTACCCTGTGATCACGACTGCTGCAAAGCATACGAAACTGAAATTAAATAATAATAATAATAGTTTTAATATATTTAGCGTTTTAAACAGTCGAAAGTGTATTTAAATGTTTTCTACTCGCGTAAACTACGGACTTACTGAATCAATTTTTTTTATAGCCAGAATCGATATCACGAGAAGACTCGTCATCCGATCAAGCGTTCGAAACGTCGGGCCGCAGTTAAAAAACATAAAAATTAACAAATATATATCGCGTTTTTAACCGTGACTGTCTTATTTAAAAGAATATTTATTACTGATAGGAATCCTGGTCTGATGAGAGTCTCCTGAAAACACGTGCGGGCGTACTCGTTAGAGTTTGCGGCGTAATGAGCTGTTCGTAAGACGCCTCACGGTTGTTTGAATCTCTTATCTTCCTTTAATTTATAGCATGTACAACTTTTCCGCTTTGCTGCGGATTACCTCACATATACGTGAAACATTTTTTTGCCAATAGATAAGCTTTGTAAATGTTAGTGTAGGTCCAGAATACAGTTATGACCTAGATGCTAGAATCTATAGCAATATAAAGAATTAATTACAAAGTATACAATTAAAGGAAGCTGATCCGTATTATAAGTTGCCAGGCCATATAAAAAGATAATCTTGACTAGTCTCTTCCAAGTTTTGTACAACTAAGGGTATCTTAAAACTAACTTAAAGTTAAGCTGTCTTATTAAGGGCGCTACTTCTTTGTGTATTTAGTAGATTTTAAACTGTACTGAATACATAATAACATAGTTGCCAATAACTACAACTTAAAAGTGTAAATTTTGAAAATGCTCGCTCGCTGACATACAGCTCGATGTGTTTATTACTATAAACACATCGAGACTGGCAGGACTTAAATAAAACACTTTAAACTGTTTAAAATGGAAATATATTACGTAACATTTTATATTAAAATTTTATATTACTATAAATAAATATAAATAAAAAATAAGTTAACTAATATATTTAGGTTTTGAACCTTTAACAGTGTTTTATTCAAATCTTGATTATTACTAAAATAACGTCGAGATTTATATATGTTTCGGATGTGATAAAGTGTAATAAAAAAAATAGTATATACAACAATATATTTCCGTTAAAAGTGTTTTAAATGTGTACTACTGAATTAACTACAGATAATAATCAGGATGTACAGTCAGCGTACCTTCCGTTACCGTGAGTTTATGAACAGGACAATCCTTAAGGTTAGCACGTGTGTGTGGCTGGCTTGACATTTACATGGTTGCGCGAGACCTCGCGGCGCCTGTCGCGACCAACTAGATTTATTCACCTTCGGACTTCAATGGACACGGGCTTACACGGTGTTCCATTGAAGAAGTCACTATTTATTTGAAGTGCGGTCATGTACATATGTATACATCAAGATACGTTGACTTCTAATGTATTTTATAACTAGCTGTGCCAACGATATCGTCCGCGTAGAATAATCATTTTGTTTACTTTTACAAACAAACTCGTGACCTTTATTAATTATACCTGTTACCCACGACTTCATCCGCGCACCGTCGTTATTGAAAGTTAATCTTAAAAGATAGACATACGGTCGCGGACATTTTTTTAGATAATATAAAGAGGAACCATTATTTCATAAATATTTTTGGGTGTGAACTTAAAACGTTTTTGTAGCGTCCACATCGCAAATAGATGGTCGACACGGGCAGGGCTTGAAGCGGATCACAGGTGTAATTTGCAATAACGGATAACCTATTGAGAGGTGGCCTCACCTCATCGTCAATTTTTTCAACCTTTCTCGCGCAATGTAATTTCAACTTACGAAAATCTTGAAGGTGAACCTCGTCGTTTTAAAACAGTCTTTGTTAATTCTTTATGTTGAAAAGATGGTAATTCTAAGGCGATCTTTTGTAAGGAAATGTTGGGTATGATGGTGGCAGACTAGATTAATCGAGTTCAAAACGTCAAAATGTATTAGTTAACATCGGATGCTTTGCAGCAGCCGTTGTCACAGCGACACTGCGGCAATGCATCCGAAACGTCGGGCCGATTTGTTAGCTAAATCATTTCCAAATAAGTTTAAGCTAATAGTATAGCGTTTTAAACCGTTAAAGTGTTTTATTTAAATTTTAACTACTCGCGTAAACTATAGACAGTATTTGTATTAGTTAATTTATTTACAATATACGTTAACTGCAGCCCATATTTGATATTAGCCCCGTGTGTCTATAACGTCTGCGTATACAAGTCTTTTTTAAAAATAATTGCATACAAGACATTAATAATAAATATCAGCTTTACCTACTTATTATAGAAACATTCTGCTCAGAAGCCCGGAAACGGAACGAAACAGTTACTCCACTCTTCTCTAAGTAACGGTTCCATCATTTGCTCTATACTTTTTCTTAAGGCACAGCTAAGATAACAGTACTACGGGCACTCGATTCCAACTCGATTCGATTGTAACTCGAAAACTAATCACAACAACTCAAAGTCCTAATTTGATTATATTAGACTATTAAGTACGATATACATTGCCTGCCCTCAAAACCATTAAGAATATAGAGCGGTGTTGATAAAAATAATTTCATCCTATTTGTTTTCATCATTACATACCACAAGCGTAATAGAGTACTTAGAAGGTAAACTGTTGTGGTTTTTGCAGTAGCCGTGGTCATAGTTGGTATTTGGCGAAACTGCTCGGGTCCTCGCAGAATTGACAGTGTCTTCGCATTTGTCGTAACATTATGCAAATGTTGAAAATATAAAAAAGTATCATAACTTTCTGTATAAGCTTTATGTATTTATTAAGTATCGAGTCGAGAATACATAGTAAAGTTTCACTTAAAGTGCATTAACCAGACACACTTACAAGCACCGAGAGAATCATTGTAATTTGGATGGAGGAAAACTAGTTTTAAAATAACTTTAAGACATTAATATACACCTACAAATATACAGCTAAATTCAAGAGATTAATTAAGAATTTAACTATCTCATACTTATATGATACATTAGATTTCCCATGGCTTAATATGTACGTAAAGTTAATTATGACCCTACTTACCAAATATTTAAATAAAATATTTTATAAGTAATGCTAATCATATTAAATAAAAAGATTTTAACGTTTAAATAAAACACTTTAACGGTTTAAAACGCGATGTATTTTAGTTAAACTTTTTTGAGAATTAATTTAACTACGGCCCGACGTTTCGGATGCTTTGCAGCAGGCGTGGTCACGGGGAGACTGAAAAGTTTAACTAAAATATATTGCGTTTTAAACCGTTAGAGTGTTTTATTTAAATGTGTACTAATCGCGTAAACTACAGACAGTGTTTAAGATTTTAACGGTTTAAAAGACTGGAAATAGTCTGGTCAGAAACGTCGGGTTTTAGCAGATGTTTTAAAAAGATGATTTTGAATGAAAAAAACATTACGACATGGGCCGGACTTGAACCAGCATCCACAGCGTTCCGTGTTGTTGCGCTAGAGCTCAATTTTTAACTTATATAATGCCATCACGTGCAATAACATGTGGAAAACCTTAAAGTTTTCAAAAATGCTCTTTATAAATGTTTCGCGCTATAATCCGTTAAAGCGGTTTTATTTAAACTAAATAATTCTACTATTAATAAATTAAAAAATATTTAAACAGTAAACGACTCGTAAACTTAAAACGAAAATTATGTTCAACGTACCCGATGTTATCCTGAATTTAATAAGATCCTAAACTTCAATTTAACTTATACTTTAATGTCGTCGTGATAAAGATAATGGGCTCGTAAAATCTAATTAGTTCGCAGTCAAGCACAAAACGATTTAATTACGCCTGAAAGTTAATACAAATGAAAACTGAGTGGCATAAATCAAAATTAAAATAGAAAAATGAAAAATAAAATTGTTTAACTCAAAAATGATAGCCGATATATTTCTGTTAATATTCTTATCATATATAAAAGTTATACAAACCCAGATGGAGGGTTTTGTGGTCGGAGGAGACTATACAGACATAACACAGTATCCACATTCTGTGTTCTTGGACATAAACTGTGGTGATACATTCATCTGTGGAGGATCTCTTGTGACACACCGCCTAGTACTAACAGCAGCACATTGTATTTCATCCTGTCAGAGCAGCCGAGGTGATCACGTAACAATTAAGTTTGGCCATGAAAACGTAGATAGAATGAGCACTGTTCCTGTAAGGAAATATGTGAAGCATAGATACTTTGATGAAGATACTCTAGAATTTGATATAGCTATGGTGATGTCGAGGAATGCTATGCCTCTTGGAAAATACGTGCAGCGAGTGGCTTTAATGGCAACGTATCCAAAGCAACCGGCTGCTGGTTATATGGCTGGCTGGGGTGTTGTGAACGTAAGGTTATTTTAGTCAAAACGGAGGGCTCGTTCGTCATTTTTCTAATCAATAACTTTTCGGAAATATGTTCTGGTTCGTCTGAAAATCTGAATACTAAATGGATGGTAAAAACACGGGAAAATCCGTCAGGGTCACATATGAAAGCCACGAAGTTTAATCGCGTGTCGGCTTTAGGTTATTTTATTAACAGGCATTAATGATCAAATAATTAAAAATGAAACAGTAATACGTAAATTCACTTCACTCTGTAACTGGAAGTATGTTTAATGTAATCTATCCATATCTTAAATAATGTATTTTTTTTAAACGCAGTCCGAACAAGAAGAATCAGTGGTATTGAAGGCGACTGTTCAGAAATTTCAGCCTTTCGATGTGTGTAGTCTACTAGGTTCTCTGCCTGAAGGGACGTTCTGTGCAGGTCCTATTACAGGCAAAGGAGCTCCAGATCAGTAAGTAAGAAGAGAACTAACAGAAGAAAAGGAGCCATAAGAACAAGTATATGTTAAACCAGACGTGCAGAATCTACTGATCCGAATTATTAAGACTGTAGTTACGCAAGAAGTCCACAATAAATAAAAATTATAAGTACATTAATTAATTAAATTTATAACTAAGATCCCCTTTAACTTACCTATCCAATATTAATTTCAGGGGAGATTCCGGAAGCGCATTCGTTATCCGAGGATATATACAAATTGGTATCGTTTCTTACAAGAATCCTAAATACAGCCTCGTCGTGTATACTAATACGACATACCATTACGATTGGATTGTAAGAACGTCCCAAAGATTGCACTGCACTTAATAAAATTTACCGATTATAGTTCTTCCTACTAAAGAAATGATTTGATATGTTACCTAATAGATGATACCTAAGCTTAAAGAACTTCTACCTTTAAGTATATATTCTATTCATCTTTCAAATACATATATAAAATCGATAGATCAGTGCGTTGAAGATAGTACGATATGAATACAATACATTCATATTTTTAAACATTGTAGGATTTATAAAAGTACAATAGGAAATTTTTTACATTTTGCTTAACAATTGAACAACTTTGTATAAATTGAATAAATGCTACTATTTTTGATTTACCTTAAACTATTGTAATATGGCTCATTTATCTAGAATTAGAATAGTTTAGCATTCACTTCAAGAAATATCCAAAGCCAAAATACGTCGACATCGCATTTTGTTCTGATGTTATTGGCTGGGTTATTACACCTCTCATCAAGTGATTTCCATGCTTGTCTGTCCTCCTCTATATTAAAAAATATATAAAAAAATATTTAGTACCTAAATGTAAGTGACACAAAAGTAGGAATATGATTTACCTAATTTGAGCTAAACGAAGCATCTAAAATTTAGAATCTTCATAATTTAGATTATATTGCTTGAGACTTACAGAATTATTTTCATTTAATCCTTTATAATATTGGATATAACGATAAAGACGTAACCTCAAAATGGTAGTTAAATTTACGTACAAATAACGTAACTACGTATAAACAAAAAACTCAAAGTAAGCCTGATTGAATCATTATGACGTACAACATAAATTCTAATTCAGCAATTAAGTCGCAATGAGCCGTAAAATGACGAGAGATAAACTAAATTCAAACGCAATTATTACTAAGACTCACAGTGGTTGTATTAAAATGTTCCTCATAGTCCTACCGTTCATAATTATTGGATCAAATGCAATGGAACCGTTCGTTGTTGGCGGCAATCGTGCTGCAATAGAGTACTTTGCACATTCAGTGTTTCTCTCTATTCGAGATTATCAAGGCTCTTACATCTGTGGTTCTTCTATTCTTAACCAAAAAGTCCTCCTATCAGCCGCGCACTGCTTCGAAACGTGCATTTCACCTGGGAATATATTCGCCTTTGTCGGCAACGCACACAAGTCCAGAGGAAGGAAATACCAAGTGTCCAATTTCAAGATACACGAAAATTACGATTCTAACGAAGTGAAGAACGATATAGGCCTCGCGATTCTGAGAGTTTCGCTGACGTTGGGAGCAAGTGCTAAAAGAGTCTCCATCATACCACATCCACCAGCTATAAAACTTGGCAAAGTTGCTGGTTGGGGATTAATTGATGTATGATTAATTTTTAATTTAATACATAAAATAAAATCATTTATTATTTTGGAGTCATCAACACAATTGTTATTTAGAAAACAAAACACTTCAAATGTACATTTACTTCTAGTTCTGAGATTATCTGATTCATTTCTTATGACATAATATAATGTAAACTAAATTCAATTGTTTTTCTAAAGTTAGATTTCCTTTAGGAAACAGGAGGTGTACGAAGCAGTTGGTTACACTCATCAACTCAACGGCTCTGGACGTTGAACAAGTGTAGGGAAATTTTGCCTGGTATTCCAAATGGCTGTCTATGCGCCGGAGACACGTCGGAGCAAAGTTACGCTTCTGAGTAAGAGCATAATACTATAGACACGTTACCATGTAAAATGATAAGATTTTTGAGTTCCGAGCATTTTTATCTCTTAATAATCATTTATTTTGGCACCAAGTTTTAAATATCGAATACAACTTTTAGGTTAATAAATCGACTAATAACAAAAACAAGGTGTTTGACCCACTATAATCAGCAGCGAAAATATTGAGTTTATATAATGTTTAAATGTATAAAGAATTACATGATACCGAAATTATTATATCCTTGTACTAGCTGACCTGGCAAACGTATTTTAACCATATTTTAACGTATCTTTACCATATGAAGTAATTAGACGAAATTCGATTTAAATGAAAACGGTTCTTGTGTGTTTATCTAAAGAAATAGACCTGTGTTGACATTTTTTCAGATTATTAAAACGAAAATATTTCTTTCATACATAACTCTATTGGTTGGGTATATTGAACAGTTTTTACAGTCCAACGAAAACCCCCCAAAGTCGCATATTTTCCCCCGGTTTATCCACATTTCCCTTTCTTTTTTTAATATCGCTACTTGGCGCAGATCCTAATAATACCTTTCTCGATAAATGTTCTAACCAACACAAATATATTTTTACACCGAACCAGTAGTTCTTGAGATTAGCGCGTCTAAACAAACAAACTCTTCACCTTTTTAGTACAGATATACATTAAATAATTCTATTTACCATATATATGACAACTTGCAATTATTTGTTTCAGGGGTGATTCTGGCAGTGCTTTAGTAATCAATGGTTATATCCAGGTGGGCTTAGTATCTTTCAAGCGGCCGGACACATCAAGAGGTCTCGTTGTTTACACCAATGTATCGCATTTCTACCATTGGATCAGAATGAATACTAGGAATTTATATTGTAGAGAAAGATTTGGTTAGTTCACATAGAATTTATAGGGAAGGTTCACTAGCAGATTATTTTTACTTTAAAATAGTTTAGTAACAATGAAGTAAAATCTTTGAATATAAATAAAATAAGAAAAACTACTTCCAATATTGTATAATAATATATTTCTTTATAACTATGACTTTTCACCAAATAAAAATAGCTATTATTGATGTTTAAAAGTTTAAATACAATGAGTTTTGTTTATATCTAATTGCTATAAGCTTAACTTAAAGTATATAATATAGTATTCCTTAATATTTATGATTTGTAAACAGCCTCCACTAAACTTTTCCATGTTTTCAAAAATAGTGCTTATACTAAACACATACATTTTAAATTCTATCCTTATCGATGTAAAAAGGTTACACTTTTATTTGGATTATATTCTATTTTGGATAACTCGTGTATTAAATAACTTTTTAAGCCGCCGAATTTCCCTGTTACTACTGTTGTCGGAAAACATCCGAAACGTCGTAGTTAAAAATGTATTGTATGTATATATCACATTTTAAACCCTCAAAAGTGCTCTGTGTACAACAAGCGTAAACTAATAACAATACATTAATGTATTTTAATTTACACATTACCAGCGTGTCATGACAGTGAATTTAACGAACGATTAGTCAGATAGTTACACCAATACATTCCTTGTTCCATATAGAGCGACATGCAAATGATCACTAGCTTTGTAAAAAGCTGTGTAACTGATTATAGACAAAAATGTTTAACGTGTTTCGCTGTAGTTAGTATGCTAATGACTACTTTTTGTTTTGGAATTTGCATATGGCGAAGATAGGTGCTTGGAATGTTGAGACATCATTTTTATTGGCTTTTGTTGTGGTCCCTATTAATTAATTGCCGAGACGTTGATAGTACATTGAAGAATTTACAATGAATGCAGAGACGAAATATCAGAAAACTAAGGTTAAAAATATTAATATACAGGATCGACATACTGAGTACTGGCTTCGTCCGACTTATTAGCTTCCAACTTATTCTATAATCAAATTATTGATTATTCAACCACAGATAAGTAAACAAAAATTTAGGTAACGAAAACTCTTTTATCTAAATTTAGAATAAGGGCAGCTTATTAAAATGTTTATGGTCTACTAGCTCTACCATTGTTCTACTTAAAGAGTCATGTGTGAGGCATCTAAGAAAATCGGCTTACTTCCTAGTATAACAAAATCTGAAAAATATTCCTTTGTTATGTTATTTTATTTTGTTTAATTGTGTACTTTGTATTATAATAGAGGAATACGTAATATGTTCTCGATTTAGAGAATTAATATGGAGACTCTATTATTGAAACAGGATAAAAAAGGGCTGTCTATCTACAACTAAGTTACAACAGTAAGGTACAACTAAGGTATCGACAGACTTATTTTATCTTCAAATATACTGAAATTTATTTGAATTGCCAACTTTGCTGCTTTGGTTTTGCGGCAAAAATAACGGCCTCCCTTAAAAAGTGGCTTCATAATTTAGTCGTCTAGACGCGTACTAATTTAAATAAAGCTAATATGGAGAACCCATGGGAACCCACAATCTGAACCTTGACATAAATGGAACAATGTCAGGACGGAAGAGGAAGTCCAAATGACACATTTATTATAACTACAGTCCCGTCCATACTTCACTTGGTGGTCATTTATTGAGTTTGAAAAACGTCAGTATCAAAACAAAAAAAAGTAAGGACTTATGATTTTGATTAGAAAAAAGTATGTCTTAATTTAAATAAGGTTTAATAGAAAAGCACATAGAAGACATAGTTGGGTATCAAACGTACGACGAACAAAGTACCGTACAACTGATGTAGTGGTACGTCCACTAGGTATTGCTTATGTATGTCTGGCGCTCTTGAGTCATATGTGAACTTTACCAATGTCCAAATTCTTTTTACAATTAACAACAATAAATTTTTCTAATGATTATTCTACTAGAACGTGCATTTTACAACGTACATCGTTGTTTTCTCCTGCTTAGTAAAAGATTCCTCTGTTGTTCGTAGAATATTATGTAGCAAATGTAGCCAGCGACTAATAGCGTAAAAATTTAGTCGGACTATTTGCATACTTACCACTTATTGTATTGGGTATCGATCTCTAAAACTAGACTCCACTTTTCGACACCAAGTTCCTTTAAGCCGCCGTGGACTTTTCAGCGGTATTAGGACGGCCGAAGAGTTGGCAGCACTCGGGATTCCAAGATACATCAAGAAAAAGAGAAGAGCACTGCAGCGCGAAGAAAGCGTAATATGAGAAAGTATTTATAATCATTTGAAAGGGGAGGAGCTGAGGAAGTTCAGGTGTTTCCTATGAAAACCTGAATCTCCTTGACAAAATTATATGTCCCGTAGATTATATTCCCCTTTCTTCTCTTATTATTTTACCATTCGGTTCTGACACTAAGATAAACGGTTCTTCAAGAAGTATCAATCGGGGCTCGTCGTAAAATCCAATTGAAGCAGTCTTCCTTCTAATTACGTTATGGCTTTCACTGTAATCATTGGAAACTTAGCCAATCGTAATACTATCTTACAAAGCGATTGACGAGTGCAACTAGCCATCAAACGGTCTCCGTAGACAAGCTACTAAGCTGCTATATATTAAAACAGACGTCCAGTGTTGACGTCTGTTATTAGTATGTTTCACTAAATTTCGAACGAAGGTCCTTGGGACCAATCAACGCAATGCGTTTACCCATTGAGTCACTGTAACATATACTTAGATTAAAAGGGATAAATTTTCATTTAGAGAACTTACACTTTAAAAATCTGGCAGAGATATACTTCTAAGTACTTTTTGCAAATTTTGAAATAAATTCAATGAGAGGTGATTTTGAAATGAAATAAATAATAATTAAGTGCCAAAGATTAATAGATATAAACAACTTAATTACTTACAGCAGGACAGATACTAAAAAGGGATTTTATCTGTGAAACCTCTTCTATTTTTTTTTTTTTTTTTTTTTTTTTTTTTTTTTTTTTTTTTTTTTTTTTTTTTTTAAAGGGGTTTGCCGGGCAAGAAAAACCATGGGGGGGGTTAAATAAAAAAAAAAAAAGACACAAATTAGTAGTATTTTGTAACGCTTTTTTGTTTAAGATCTCATTAATTTAAATATAAACATAAGAACGCCGTATATATATTCGTCAAACTTATTAATAACTAACTACGGCCCAACGTTACGGATGCTTTGCAGTAGCCATGGTCACGGGGAGACATGCTAAGCAAGACCTATCGCGTTTTAAACCGTTAAAGTGTTGTATTAAATGTTAACTATTTAAGTCCCATGTATTAACTGTAAAAAAAATATTTCTATAAGTCGTACTTTCTTCCTTGTCTATTTTTTATGCACACATCTTAAACGTGTCGTTTCTGCGCTGTGCTTTAACTGACTAGTAATAAATAGCATGTTATCAAAACACGTGTTCCGATAATGCTGCCGATTGAAACGCGGGGCAAGTGGAAAACGTGAAAGTCGTTCGCAGGTGTGAAGGGACAATTACAATCAAACACTATTTGTTAAACTACAATAACAATTCCCGATTCTTCGGCTGATAACGGTAATAGAATCTGCTCTAGTTTCGGCTTGGAACATTGTTATGTAAAGAAACGTTGTTCTAGTAAGTTCAGCGCTGATTTTACGAGATTAACTAATATTATGTGTTGCCGATTTACAATTTTGAGGACGGGAGATCCGAATACAGTTCACCCTCGAATTTCGTGCATCAAATTTTTTCTCCTGTACGTTATCACACTGATAACATCGTAAAATAACCGGTATGGCCTGAAACCAAAAAAAATCCTATAAAATGTTGGCCAAGTCTCAGTTGAACCACTGAGGGCTGATGGCGACAATGTATTCTCATATTATAAAGCTGTTTCGTTTGTTTGAACGTGCGAATCTCAGGAACCACAGCTTTGAAATAAAATTTTTGTTTTATTTTTTATAATAATGTTTTATAGACCTGCGAAGAGACAGTATAAAATGTAAAAAAAAATAAAAAAAACATATTTGTCTTTGACTTCCACGCGGCTACGCAAAAGTAATAAGATATCAAAGAAATATGTATAAATAAAAATGATTTCTCTTCAAACAATTAAAAAAATGTCTGTGACACTACAAATCTATGTTTTAAAATTAATCCACAAGAACCGTTTTAATGGTAATCGAATCGTAAATACTTAATGTGCCAAAAGATCTTTGCTAGATCATCTAATCATTAATATTATATAATAATGAAACATTGTAATATAAAGATTTTATATATAACGTATTGATGGCGCAATATTTCTGCTCGCGGTGTCAGTAGCTCTTACCCCGCCACTGCACTATGCGATTAAAAACTTAATTAAGCTTGTCACTGTAAACTTAAAATATAATGTAATGTTGAGTCATATAATATTTCTTTGCACGTTGACTTTTCGACTTTATAGCTTTTTTAAGTGTTGCTTTTACGATTTTGTTAACTCTCACTAGACAACTTTATAGCTATATGCAACGAAAATGTATTGTACAAGTTAATTGATTTCAAACACAGCCTCGTTGGTCAGGTTATATTAACAGACATTCACGGACCGCAATGTCCAAGGTCCGGCGAATTTTTGGGTATAACTTGATGCTTTTTGATCCATATGATGGCGTTATATAAACTAATATGCAATAAAATGTGGCAAATAGTAAAGTTTTCAAACGTTAAACTCCTTTAATTTCATCTTCATTAATAAAGATGCAAAGTTAACCTATAAGACATTGAACCTCAGTACGTATAATTTAAGGTTCAAATTACATTGCTCGAGAAGTGCATGTATCAATAGGCTGAATAATTTGATGATGACGTGTAGGACTCGGTAGCTTAATTGGTTAGAGCAACAGCATAGGACGCTGTAGATGCCAGTTCAAGACCTGCCCGTGTCGTAAAATTTTTAAATCCAAAACCGGATGTTCCGAATTTTTTAAGGAGATCTCGTACCATACCTTGGAT